TATTTTTTACTTACGTGTTTTGGATCGATATAATATGCCTCATGTATTCCATAATTGTGACTTTCAGTTTTTTAACTTTCAACACAGGTGAGTACTACGCGGTACTTAATAAACCTTTGCCCACGTGTAATACTTTCAGATAGTTCAGTGGCAATTATAGGTTTAGCTGTCAGTCAAGCAAATGTTTTGGTAGGTTCAGTCCAACATACCATGAAAACGTTGAGCGAATTGAGTGCCAACATGACTTCTGTAGAACGAGTACTAGAATACATAGAATTACCGCAAGAACCAGACGAAGGTACTTTCGTCCCACCACCATCGTGGCCCCAAGTCGGACAAATCGAGTTTAAATCAATATCGATGCGGTACTCTCCAGACAAACCTTTAGTTCTAAAAAACATTGAGATTAAGATTCACCCAAGGGAAAAAGTTGGAATCGTTGGCAGAACTGGAGCCGGAAAAAGCTCTTTAGTGTCCACTCTGTTTCGCTTAACGCATTTCGAAGGTCAGATTGTCATGGATAACGTAGACACCAAAATCGTACCGCTGAATGTTTTGCGATCAAAAATCACCATCATTCCACAAGATCCGATACTATTTGTAGGTCCTTTAAGAAAAAATTTAGATCCGTTTGAAGAATTCAGTGATTCTCAAGTTTGGAGCGCTTTGGAGGCTTTCAGCCTGAAAGCGTTAATAGCAAACTTGCCACTGGGTCTCCAGACTCTGGTGGACGAAGGTGGTACCAACTTTAGCGTAGGACAGAAACAGTTGTTGTGTTTGTCACGAGCGATATTGAAGAAGACTAAGATTTTTGTATTGGATGAAGCTACGGCTAACGTTGATTTGCAAACGGATGAAGCAATCCAGGCCACAATTCGAGAAAAGTTTAAGGATTGCACAATTTTGGTGATAGCACATCGCTTAGAAACTGTTATGGATTCCGATAAAGTTTTAGTTATGGATGACGGTAGGGTTGTGGAGTTTGGGAAACCTGAGGAATTATTGATAAATCATCGGGGAATTTTTTCTCAGGCTTTACATTCAGTAATAAATTAAATTTGCTTAAGTATCTAATTTATAGCAACCAGAAAGCGTGCAAAACTTTACTACTCGAACCTATAATAATAATAATAAAGAATTTTTAAAAAAATTTTAATACATTGAGAATCGTAGATCTATTCATTTCTATCCAGCCTGTTCTAAAAAATACCAACAGTTTCTTTGCGAATACAACCGAAAGAGGAGAGCAAGGTAGTACGAGGGCAGAATATTGTAAACGCGAGCCACTGATAACTTACGCGAGAAAAGCCATCAGACAGTTATTAGAATCGAAATTCAGGGAAAACTTAACCCAAGTTTGAAGAAATTCATGGGGCTACTGAAATACTCCTAAAAATTACGGAATTAATAAGCATTTTCAAAGCTGCTGTGTTAGTACGTGAAATAAACGGATTGTAAATACAGATAACTCTCATTAAAGTAAGTGCTTTCAAATAAATTAATTGCTAAGCAGTATCTATATATATACTTCTCCTTGGCTTATACGTGTGAACATGTAGTTTAAGGGATAATATATTTATCTTCTAAATTTTAAAACAGTACGTAAACGTCATCAGTGACCTTGTTCCATTATTACTAAAACAACTTTCCTGCGTAAAATGGGATTTATAAAGTTGCTGTTGACTTTGAAGTTCCCGTTGCAGTTGGTTTTTCCCCTGACGTTGCTTTTAGAGCTGACAATTGTCATTTATAAACTCCGTTGTCGAAATAAGTCTACACATATTAAGAAACAAAGGAAAAATGTAGCCCCGCCCACCCACCCTGTCTCAATTGTGATGATTTTGTTTTATTCGTCGTGAGCCAAGAAGGCGAAACTTAAATGCAAAATCCTTATTTCTTCTCCGAGAAATTAAAAACATGTTCTTGAATATCGTGTTTTCAAAAAATACTATGTACATTAAAAAAAAGACAAAGCTTGGGCTCCACCAACTGGTCCATATTTCCTTACAAAAATGTACAATTTTAAACCTTTTATATGTTTCTAAGAATAAAAAAGTCATAACAACTGAGACCGGGTGGGTGGGCGGGGTCTGTATTTTGTGTTTTTTTCTCTTAATATACATAGTATTCTTTGAAGAACACGATACTGAAAAACATGTTTTTATTTTCTTGTAAAGAAATAAGTATTTTGCAGTTAAGCTCCGCCTCCACGGTTCACGGCGAATTAAAAAAATCATCACAATTGAGACAGGGCGGGTGGGCGGGCTTACATTTTTTCTTTTTGTTTTAATATATGTAGACTTCTAATCACAACATGAAACTTAAAACATGTTTAAAATGGTAAATTTGTATAAGAAAATATCAATTTTGCAATTAGGCTCCTCACCATAATTGCAAAATCCATATTATATTATAAGCCCCGCCCACCCGCCCTATCGCAATTCTGATGTTTTTTTTTTATTCGTTGTAACCCGAGGAGCGAAATTCAGTTGTAAAATCCTTATTAATTAAAAAAAAAAAATTACAAATTTAACTAACCGTAAAACACTATATCTATAATGTAACTTTGTGCATGTTTATTACTTTAACGAGACATTGGCCGGTTTTTTTATTTATAGGAGGTTATCAGGTTTTTGCCATTTCTTCCGCATGAATAATGACTGTTAAATATCTGGTTGTTGACACCGAGTTTTAAATTTGAGAGAGGAGAGCTCGCTGGTCCTTATAGATATTGTTACGTTGATTGGTGAATAAAGTCGGCGTGGGTAAAACTCAACAATTTATTTCATAAAAATTCGAATTTACACGAATAACTATTACAGCGATTATGTACCAAATAACTCCGGCGCAACTTCACTGGACTCTCTTGACTCAACTGGCTGAATAATAATAATCGTTCCCGAAGGTGGCCTCTATTTAAACTCATACTTCTGCGATCGAGGTTTTTCTCGAATATTCATCGCGACTTCGTAATCGAGACTTCCGGTAACAGTGGTGCAGACTTGTCTTTATTATGCTACCATCGCACAGCCGTCCTGACTGATGATGACTCACCCATCATCAGCGCACATTCTAGAGAACACATAGGCTTCGTACCGGGGCGGCATATGGGTTAATTTCGTAACAATATACAGGGACATTTTTTTAACTCTGAACATACGCCATAAGTCCCTATGTTCAATCTGAAAAAAAACACATCGATGTATTGGAAGTATATAACCAATATTACATCTAACCTACGTGACAATTAAAAAATAATTTAAACTCAACTTGTCAAAATATGATTTGGAAATATGAAAAATGCATACAATAGAAGAAAAAATACAAATATTAAATTGGGACTATCGCCATGCAAGCACTCGAAGTGTTGGTACGTTTTTTTGGGTCAATTTTTCTTCAAGCGAATGTAGGTAAAGAATAAATTAATTATGTATTGTGAAATTTATTAAACAGGTAACAGAAAAAAGCAAACAAGAATTATTACTTATTTTAACAAATATTCGAAATGACCACCTTCACATTCCAGACAATAAGCGAGCCTATGGTAGAAGCCTTGAACAGCGTTCCCAATGAAATTAGGGTTAAGTTCATTGCAGGCATTTCTTATCCGGTCTTTTAATTCTTCAACATCGTTTATCATGATGTTATTATAAATCGTATTTTTTAGGTGCCCCCAAAGGAAAGTCATTCGGAGACAAATCTGGCGACCTTGGTGGGCAGGCAACCGGCCCAAATCTTCCTATCCACCGTTCTGCAAAAATTTCGTGTAAATAACGACTTATTATTGCAGTTGAGTGTGGGGGAGCTCCATCCATTTAAAACCAAACATCATTAATATTTAAGTTTTGAATTTGGGGCACTATGTGGTTACGAAGCAGTCTTAAAAAGGAATTAGCATTGAAATTTCCTTGAATAAAAAATGGACCAATTGTGGTTTGGTTTATAATTCCTACCCACACATTAACCCTACGGTTATATTGTGTTCTTGTCAAATTTTGCAGACGGGGATTAGTATTTGACCAATATCTGTAAAGAAAGGAAAAAGATATGAAGGGGTAAAGGAATCAATAGGACTAACCGATAATTTTGGGAATTGACTTCGCCATCTAATGAAAATGATGCTTCATATGTAAATACGATGTTTTTTAAAATATTTTCATTATTGTTAATTAAATTAAAGCGTTTCGCAAAAATCCGTTCTTTTAATTTTATCTTCTGGATTTAGTAGTTGATGATTTGTGAATTTATAGCGTTTGTATTTAAACTTTTTTAAAACTCTGCGAATTGTAGACCGGGAAATTCCAAAGTAGTTGCTTGTTATGGTTAGCGATGACATCGGATTCTCTTCGGCATAACATAAGATATTCAATTGTACTTCTTCAGTTAGGACATAATTTGATCTGTTTCTCCTGTGATGTTTATATTCGACGCATCCGTGGGTGTTAAATTTTGCAATAATGTTATGAATTGTTCCAATTGACACAATTGGTCTATCGGGATAATTGACTGAAAAAAGATCTCGTACAACTCTAATGCTTGAATGGCTACGGTACCAAGTTAAAATTTGTACTTTCTCTTCTGTCGTATAAAACATTGTTTTTATACTCAAATTTTGAAATTATATTTTGACAAGTTGACAAGTTTAAATCTTTTTTTTTTAATAATCACGTAGGTTTGATGTAATATTGGTTGTTTACTTCCAATACATTGATGTGTTTTTTTTTCAGATTGAACATAGGGACTTTATGGTGTATGTTCAGAGTTAAAAAAATGTCCCTGTATAGGCATTTAACTCACTGAGTGAGTATAAAAGTAATGGAACCAGTAAATCAAAAGTGATTTATGCGAGTCTTCAGTATGACACCATTATCACACTTTAAACACCTTTACTTAAAATAACTATGTGATAAAGTATCATTATCACAACTACTTCCAATAGTCGAAGTGTGTCTAGCTTGAATATTCAGTTGTATAAGAAAAAAAAACGGAAAACAATTTAAATGGAGCAAAATGAAAGAAGAAAGCAAAAAAAAGCCCATCCAAAGGACAGGTCTAATTTTTTATCACACTTTTTATTCTGGTAACTTCTTTTAAAAATATTTCACTTATATACACGGTCTTTTCTTAGTTGGGAACTACCAATTTTATTAAAATCGCACACATTCACTGAAAACAGCTTGTACGAAGCTGCGAAAGAACACAAGGCTACAGCTCTCGGAGACAAGTTGGAATTTTTTTGGAAGGAAGAAGAAATCTGCGAAAAGCGCCCGTCACTAACAAGGGCTCTTTTAAAAAGCTTTGGTAAAGAATATTTACTACAAGGGCTTATACTTTTACCATTTGATCTTGGAGTGATGTTAGCTGTTCCTGAAGTTGATGTCATGTCACCAACACGTCTTAATTTCAGGTTACTGCGACCTTATTGTATGAAGAAGTTTTTGAACTGCTTTACACAACAAGAATGCGTCGGCGGAATCGAAATATATCTGGTTACTTCGTTAATTGTTTCAGTAAATCTGTTGCAAGTGTTATATTTTCACTGGTTTTATTTGCAATTTAGTTCTTTTGGAATCAAAGTTAGAGTTGCTTGTTCTTCGCTAATTTACAGAAAGTGTCTCGAGATGAAGAAACAGTCGTTTAAAAAAAAATCTGTTGGACAGGTAGTAAATCTGTTTAACGATGTAAACAGATTCAACGATGTTTTGATCGTTTGTCACTACCTATGGATTGCACCTTTAAAAATTTTGGTTTTTCTTTATTACATTAATGTCGTTTTGGGACCCACGGCACCTACAGGCATCTCTATAATTATTTGTTTCTTCTTAGTACAGTGTCTGTAGTTGAAACTTTTAAGTACCTTTAATAAAAAATCGTTTTAGTGGTTGTTTCCAAACAAATGTTTTTGAGAAAAAGGGAAGCTGCTTTGAAAACCGACGACAGAATTCGTTTAATAAATGATGTCATCGGTGGAATACAAACAGTGAAGATGTACACGTGGGAAACATCTTTCTCTAAACTTGTTAAAGCTGCTAGAAGGTAATGTCTGTGTGTTCTTATACCATGTCTGAATTAACAACAGATTTGTAGATCGGAAATGAAGACAATTATTCGAGCTAATTTGTTATCTATTAATAATCACACTATCAGGATGTATGTTACGAAAATTGCGCTTTTTTTGTGCGTAGCAAGCGCCATTTTGACTAAGGTGGTTTTAACACCTGAGTACATTTTCCCTCTGATCAGTATCTACGAAAACTTAATTCTTATAGGCTTACTACGCTTTCAGTTGGCTGCAACTTTCTTCACGGAAGCCAAAACTTCGGTTGTTCGCATTCAAGAATTTCTTCTTTCGGGACGCAAAAAAGCTCCCGTAAAACAGCCATCAAAAAGCACTGACTCTTGCAATCCAATGTCATACCAAAGTTTTGAACCAACTGTTTATGGAATTCATCTTAACAACGTCAAGGTGGCTTTCGATACCTCCACCGTGTTGGAAAATGTCACCTTTTCAGCCCTTCCTGGAGATCTAGTTGGATTATCAGGAAAATCTGGAAGCGGGAAGTCAACACTTCTTCAAGTCATTCTCCAGGAAATTAAAGCAAAAGGTTCGATTGCCGTCGGCGGAAAAATTTCGTACGCGTCCCAAGAAGCTTGGATTTTTTCCGCAAGCATTAAACAAAACATTCTTTTCGGGGAAGAAGAAGACGAGAAGAAATATCGCAGAGTGATTCGAACGTGTGCTTTGGAACACGATTTGTCTCTTTTCGCTAACGGTGACCAAACTCTCGTCGGTGAACGAGGGGTGATGTTGAGTGGAGGCCAAAAATCGAGGATAAATTTAGCCAGAGCTGTGTATCGAGATGCTGATATTTATTTGTTAGACGATCCTCTAGCTGCTGTTGATGCCAGGGTGGCGCAACACATCTTCAATCAGTGTATTTTGGGGTACTTGAAAGACAAGTGTGTAGTGTTGGCGACCCATCACTTGAAGTACTTGAGGAACGTCAAAAAACGATATATTATAAATAAAAGAAAAGTGGTCGAGGAAGATTCGAGTGAAAATGTTTTTATGGAGTCTGATGAAGTAGCAATCCAAGAGGAAGTCATTAAATCTCACAATTTACCTCCCGAAATTCATGAAAGTGCTACAACCAATTATAGCACACGACAAATTTACAAAGAGTATTGGTTTTGTGGAAGCCACTGGATCCTACCATGTTTGATATTCGCACTACTTTTATTAACGCATTCCTTAAATAGCTTCATCGATATGTTTATTATTTTTCCAATCATTTCAAACAAAACAAAATCTTTCCATTTCTTCAGATTGACGTTAGAACACTTCTTATATGTTTACGCTTGTTTGATTGTCCTTCTCTTCATTCTTAATCACACTCTGTCTGTGATATTTATGAAACATTGCATGTCTATTTCAAAAACGTTACACAATACGTTGTTGGACAAAATTTTGGCAGTTCCGATGAAATTCTTCAACGAACACCCTTCCGGTAGAATTCTTAACCGGTTCTCGCAAGATATAAGTCGAGTTGATGAAACTGTACCCTTCTGTTTATACGAAATGGTGAGATCAGCGTTCGACGCACTTGGAACAGTGATAATTGTAGTAATTTTAAATTATTGGTTAATATTACCAACGTTGGCAGCCATTCCTTTGATTTATTTCTCCACTTGGCTCTTTCAACCGCTCAACAGAAATCTGAGAAAGCTGGAAGGAATCAGTAAGTTAGCAGTTCCGTCTTTATCCTATAAAACTAGCAATGTTTCAGCTAAAAGTCCAATTCTGACTTACGTCGTTACTTCGTTGCGCGGACTTCCAACAATACGAGCTTTTAACAAACAAAAACCTTTAGTTGAAGAATTCGAATACCACCAAGACGCTCATTCCTCTGCTTTCTACTTATTTAAGTCTTTATTTTTTACTTACACGTTTTGGATCGATTTAATATGCTGCATATATTCCACAATTATCACTTTCAGTTTTTTAACTTTCAACACAGGTGAGTACCACGCGGTACTTACTAGAACTTTACCCACAAGATACTACTTTCAGAGACATCTGTAGCAAATATAGGTTTAGCTGTCAGTCAAGCAAACATCTTGGTAGGTTTAGTCCAATTCGTCATGAAAATGTGGAGCGAATTGAGCGCTAACATGACTTCTGTAGAACGAGTACTAGAATACACAGAATTACCTCAAGAACTAGACGACGGTACTTTCGTGCCACCACCATCGTGGCCCCAAGTCGGACAAATCGACTTTAAATCAGTATCAATGCGGTACTCTCCAGACAAACCTCTAGTACTAAAAAACATTGAGATTAGAATTCAGCCAAGGGAAAAAATTGGAATCGTTGGCAGAACTGGAGCCGGAAAAAGCTCTCTGGTGTCCACTCTGTTTCGTTTAACTCATTTCGAAGGTCAGATTCTCATTGACAACGTAGACACCAAAATCGTACCTCTGAATGTTTTGCGATCAAAAATTACCATCATTCCACAAGATCCAATACTATTCGTAGGTCCTTTAAGAAAAAATTTAGATCCGTTTGATGAATTTAGTGATTCGCAAGTTTGGAGTGCCTTGGAGGCTTTCAACTTGAAAGCGTTTGTGGCAAACTTGCCACTGGGTCTTGAGACTCTGGTGGACGAAGGTGGTACCAACTTTAGCGTAGGACAGAAACAGTTGTTGTGTTTGTCGAGAGCGATGTTGAAGAAGACTAAGATTTTTGTCTTGGATGAAGCTACCTCTAACGTTGATTTGCAAACGGATGAAGCAATCCAGGCCACAATTGGAGAAAAGTTTAAGGATTGCACAATTTTGGTGATAGCACATCGCTTAGAAACTGTTATGGATTCCGATAAAGTTTTAATTATGGATGAAGGTAGGGTTGTGGAGTTTGGGAAACCTGAGGAATTATTGATAAATCAACGAGGAATTTTTTCTCAGGCTTTACATTCAGTAATAAATTAAACTCGCTTAAGTATCTAATTTTAAGCAACCAGAAAGTGTGCAAAACTTTACTATTCGAAACTATAATAATAATAATAAAGAATGTTAGATCTATTCATTTCCATCCAGCCTGTTCTAAAAAATACCAACAGTTTCTTTGCGAATACAACCGAAAGAGGAGAGCGCATTTGCAAAGCTGCTGTGTTAGTAGGTACGTGAAATAAACTAATTGTAAATACAGATAACTGTCATTAAAGTAAGTGCTTTGAAATAAATTAATTGCTAACCAATATCTATATACTTATCCTTGACTTATATGAGTGAACGTGTAGTTAAAGGGATAATATTTATCTTCTAAATTTTAAAACAGTATGTAAACGTCATCAGCGACCTTGTTCCATTATCACTAAAACAACTTTTCTGCCTAAAATGGGATTTAGAAAGTTGCTGTTGACTTTGAAGTTCCCGTTGCAGTTGTTTTTTCCCCTAACGTTGGTTTTAGAGCTGACAATTGTCATTTATAAACTCCGTTATCGAAATAAGTCTACAAATATTAAGAAACAAAGGAAAAATATAGCCCCACCCACCCACCCTGTCTCAATTGTGATGATTTTTTTTTATTCGTCGTGAGCCAAGAGGGCGAAGCTTAAATGCAAAATCCTTATTTCTTCTACGAGAAATTAAAAACGTGTTTTTGAATATTGTGTTTTCAAAAAATACTATGTATATTAACAAAAAGCCAAAGCTTGGGCTCCACCAACTGGTCCATATTTCCTTACAAAAATGTACCATTTTAAACCTTTTTTATGTTTCTAAGAATAAAAAAGTCATAACAATTGAGACGGGGTGGGTGGGTGGGGTCTATATTTTGTGTTTTTTTTCTCTTAATATACATAGTTTTCTTTTAACAACATGATACTGAAAAACATGTTTTTATTTTCTTGTGAAAAAATAAGTATTTTGCAGTTAAGCTCCGCCTCCATGGTTCACGGCCAATTAAAAAAAATCATTACAATTGAGACAGGGCGGGTGGGCGGGCTTACATTTTTTTTCTTTTTGTTTTAATATGTGCAGACTATTTTTAATAACATGAAACTTAAAACATGTTTAAAATGGTAAATTTGTTGCAATTTGGCTCCTCCCCATAATTAAAAAAATCCATATTTCCTTGTAAAAATGTACCATTTTAATCATGTTTTAAGATTCTTGTTGTGAAAAGATGGCTATGTATATTACAAAAAAAAAATTATATATATATATAAGGCCCGCCCACCCGCCCTATCTCAATTCTGATCTAACTCGACTCAAGAAATAGTCCACTGTTTGCTCGATATTTTGTGGTATTTTTTGTGCATAAAAACACAAATTTAAGTGTGCGAATAGTGCCGAATCTTCTGGGTGTGGTGGTTAAACTACCATTTAATTCTAACTGTTGGATGTTACACATTTGTTAGCGGTAAGAAAGTGACAATTGAATTATCTTATCACATTTGTTGCTTTTTGTGGATTGTTCTTTTCTTGTCCCTGATAAACCAGTGTTGCTAAACAATAAATTTTACCTCTGTCTCATCTACCATTTCCTACCATTGCCGATCTTATCTAGTGTACCTATATTCTCTGTTGAAAGATACCACGACCGGCACCGTTGGTGTGAAGTTTTTGTCCTATACTTTTTCTTTCTCCTATTGTTTTCTACTTTTCTTGACAAGGTTCAACTATGAGTACAGTTAAATATATATGCTGTGATAGCACTGTTGAATTACACAAATCTGTCAATTGCTGTGTCTGCAAAAGGGTATATAAAATCGATTGTGCAGGTGTCTCTACTGCTGAGGCAAGAAAAATGCATCAAAAATCAGGATTATCCTGGTCGTGTAAATACTGCATTGAACTGGGAAGTGATCTAAATGCTCTAAGGAGTGGTATTGTATTATTGCAGGACGAAATTAAGGTGCTAAAAACCACTATATCAACCACTCAAAATAAAGCGCCATTGTTAGAAACTGAAAAAGTTATTCAGGAAATTTCTGAACGTGAAAAAAGAAAGTATAACATTATGATATATGGCTGCAAAGAAGATACGGTCAATTCTAATAAGGATCAGCATATCTTAGATGCTGACAAAGTTTCTCAAATTCTTAGTGCTTTAGATATAGCTGAAACTGAATACTCATTGTTTAGACTTGGGAAATTTGATTCTACCAATGTAAACCGCTGTCGCCCATTGAAAATCTGCTTTTCCTCACCTACACCTGTAAACAAGGCCTTACGCAATGCTTCTAAACTTAAGTCTACACCTGATTTAAACGGAATCTTTATCTCATCTGACAAAACTCCAATGCAAATTGCTCTCTACAGAAACACTTAAGCTGAACTCAATACTCGACTCGCCAATGGAGAACAGAATCTGTCACTCAAATATAGAAATGGAATCCTCACTATTATATCTGCTAGATCTTTAAACTGACTTTGCCCAATAGTACTTCTGATAAACTCTATATTTATTACCAAAATACCCGTGGCCTACGTAGTAAAACTCATACCTTTTATGTTAACGCATGTGAACTTTTCTATGATATTATTGTCGTTACTGAATCATGGTTAAATGCATCGGTCAAAACTAGTGAACTTTTTCCTTCTGAATATAGTGTCATACGTTGTGACAGAAAATGTAACTTGACTAACAAATCTGATGGTGGTGGAGTCATTGTCGCTCTTTCTAATAAAATAATCTTTGAAGTTCAAACCATGAAGGAATTAGCTGACTTGGTACCAAAAATTGACTTTGTTTTTTGCAAATGTTCTCTGAATAAGTTTGTATTTTTTCTCATTGTTGTTTATATACCGCCTGATCTACCCATTGCCGATTATGAAGCATTTCTTGAAGCTTTAGAAATATTCCTTATTAGCAAACCGTTTATACTGATTAGTGATTTCAATATTCCCACTTATAACAAACATTTCAACACATGTCCCAAACTTCGAATACTCCAGAATCTGTCTAATTCACTTGATGTTGTCCAGCACAATATTTCTAATAATGATGGAAAACTGCTTGACTTAATTTTTTCCAATCTAAAGCGTCCAATGGTTGTGGATCATGCTAAATATCCTTTGGTTAAAAAAGATTTTTATCATCCAGCTTTGTCAGTTCCTATTGATTTGGAAAATTCTGATAAATTGATACCATTTCCAGCAGTAAATAGTGATCGTTTCAACTTTCGCAAAGCTAATTTTAATAAACTCTATGACGATCTGTGGTGCACTGATTGGTCATCTGTAATTAAATGTACTCATGTGAATCAGGCTGTTAAAATTTTTATGATCTTCTGTATTCTACTATTAAATATTCAGTCCCACTTTATACCAAAAATCGCTCCACTTTTCCTCCATGGTTCACGGCTGATATAATCTTTAATTTAAAACTTAAGCATAGGTGCCGAAGAAAATGGCGTGTCTCTGGTAGCGTAGTTCACCTTAATGAATTTAAAAGATTGCGTAGCTATTGTAAATCACAGATATCCCTTGCGTACAGTAACTGCATGAGTAAGATTGAACAGTCGATACTATCAGACCCGAGAGAAGTGTACAAGTACGTTCAGATGAAGAAAGGAATAACGCGAATACCTGGAATAATGTACCATGAGAATCAAGCATATGAGTCACCGCAAGAAATTATTAATGCATTTGCCTCCTCCTTTTCTAGTATATTTACTTCTGGGTCAAATGTGGATTATAAAGATGTGCATACCAATCGCATTTGTTTCGACCTCCAATCCGTAACTGAGGATGAATTGATTCAAATCATGGCTCGTTTTCCACTCAAGCATACAGCTGGAGATGACCAAATCCCAAGCTTTCTCATACATGATGCTCGATTTGCTTTAGCAAAACCGCTATTAAATATCGTCAATCTAGCTATATCTTCGTCAACATTTCCAACTTTTTGGAAACGCGCAAAAATTCTTTCAGTCCACAAAAAGGAAGACAATACACTTCTCAAAAACTATCGACCCATAGCCATCCAATCAAATTTTGCTAAGATCTTTGAGAAAATTATTTATAGAGCTATTTTCAACGGGACGCATCGGTATATCTCTCCAAATCAACATGGTTTCATGCCACGTAGATCCACCTCGACCAATCTGATAACTATTACACAGTTTATTTCTGAAGAACTGGATAGAGGAGGTCAAATAGACGTTATATATACCGACTTCAGTTCTGCTTTTGACACGGTTGATCACAAGATATTATTGAATAAACTCAGTGCGTTTGGTCTTGCGACATCTTTCGTTAGACTGATTGATTCATATCTTTCGCACAGGATAAACTACGTCTTCTATAATGGTTTTAAATCCAATGAATATGTATCAACTTCTGGGGTCCTTCAAGGTTCAAACTTAGGCCCCCTGTTATTCGTATTATATATTGATGACCTTTTTTTGAAGCTTAAATTGCAACACGCTTGCCTTTGCTGATGACCTTAAAATTTTCTCTCGCGTCATGAATCTTGAAGATGCCGAAGAGTTACAACTGAATTTGGACAAAATTAGTGTATGGTGTACTCAAAACGGTCTGAAACTTAATCGGGATAAATGTAACTTTGTTAGATATACTCGTAAGGTAAATTATTTTTCATCTTTGTATAACATTGATGGTGTTGTACTAAACTCTGTTGATAAGATAAAAGATCTTGGGGTACTATTTGATTCGAATTTAAGTTTTTGTGAACACAATGACAGCATTACTTCCGCTGCTTCTAAAACCTTAGGCTTTATTATGCGTGTTTCTGCTAATTTCAAAAACATAATGCTATTTAAGGTATTGTATTTTGCCTTGGTTATAAGTAAACTAGAGTATGCATGCATTGTCTAGCAACCTTATTATTTGAATCAGTGGCGGCTCGTCATATGAGGCAAGTGAGGCGGCGCCTCACAGCATATATCTTAAGAACAGATTGACTTAATTTATAATTAAAAAAGAGCTTTCAATGCATTTTTAGTTACAAAAATATGTTGAAATGGTAAATCTGTAGATTATTTTTTATTTTTTACACTTTCTGCGGACATTTTCCGTTGAATACTGTACGATTTATGCCCCGAATTCTTTAACTGAAGCGGCCAGAGCGTCGGTTCACTTGCGCCAATGAAGCCCAATCACAGACACGGATTTCCATGACTCAGCTGCTATACTCCTATATATGAATTCGCTCGGAACTGAGGCGATATCTTCGATGCTTCTCGGCCAATTTCGGCGGACCCTTTAAATCATTTTCCCATTTATTTTACAGAATGGAAGGGGTGTAGGGTGCGTGGGTAATTAGCATAAACGTGAATAAAAGTCCAGGAGCTGGTGTTTCGTGTTTTTGTCTCTTTCATAGGTACAGGGTACAGGTGAGTGAAAAATGAATCCCGAGTACGATATTGTCATGTTGCTTCTTGAAACGCCATTTTCACGACGAACCGAGTTAGAACGTCGGTAAATTTTGCTAAATATCGAACAGTCAAAACCGTTAACTTCCATTGATAAGCGACTATGTCATCAGTACTACAGGTCTTTTAAACCAGCCTGGTACGAACCATAAACGGCTCTGCCGTAGCCGTAATATTTACGCTGAAAGTCTATATTGTTGCCGTGTCTACTCTTAGGCAATGTAAAAAACACATGGACGACGTCTCCGGGATATAACGATTCAAAGAATTTCATTCGAAGTGCAAAGTTACATAAAAGTTCCAAAGTACACATTAAAAATTTCATGGGCTTAAAAGATTTAGAAAGGAACACAACTAATGCCGAATCCCTCCAAGAAAGTGCTAGTTTAAACAAAATTTTGACTTGTAAAACATTGTTGATTAAATGTGTTATGGGTGTTAATATTATTATTATTATTATTACTATTATTAGGACCCACTACTGACTGGGAAATTAACGGTATTCAAGCAAGACTTCTATCATTACTAACTGCTAAGACCAAGCAATATGCATTAATCACATTAATTTAATTAATTTTTTTTTTTTTATTAAGACCCACCACTGACCCGGAAATGACCGGCATTCAGGCAAGACTTCTATCATTACGGGTACTAAGACCAAGTAATGATATGCATTGATTAGATTAACAGAACAACTTTCGAGATTCTAGAATTACAGCATACAAATTAGTCTGCTATTATTCTCTAATCTCACCCCATCCCCAAAAGTCTAGCGTAACTACCGACCATTTATCCGCGCATCACTTGAAAATTGACCTACACTACTCTGACCTACTGGTGCTAACCTAATCTGACTAACATGATCAGACTGTTCAAGAAACTTACGAACAATATGACATGTTCCTAACAAAACAGCTTTTTGAATTTTGATAATTATTGAATCATTCAAATGCAAAGACTTTAAATTCTCAACTAAGCTATTTGGAACTACACCTACATTAGAGATAACTAGAGGTACAATTGAAATTTTTTTAAGATTCAACATGGATTTCATTTCTATCGATAACTGTAGATATTTTGAAATCTTGGTGTGGTATGTTTGAATAATGTTGTTTGTGTTGGGAACAGCAATGTCAATGAGAATGGCTTCGTTCGTGTGTTTCTTGATAAGTATGATGTCTGGTCTGTTAGCTGTAATGTTTAAGTCTGTAAGTATTGTGCGATCCCAGTATAATTTGTATTTGTTATTTTCAAGGAACGGAGATGGAATGTAAGTGTAATACGGTGTCGTATCTTCGATTAAGTTCATAAGTGTTGCTAATTCTTTGTGGATGATTTTGGCGACGTTGTCGTGTCTAGCTTTGTAGTCAGTTTGTGCTAGGATGCTGCAAGAAGAGATTATGTGCTGGATCGTTTCAGGTTTTGCTTTGCAGAGGCGACAGCAGTCGTTTTTTATGTTCTGATCTTTGATGATGTATTTTTTGTAATTCTTGGTATTGATTACTTGGTCTTGAATAGCAAACACAAATCCTTCTGTTTCGGCATACAAACCTGATTTTTTTAACCAAATCAATGACATCTTCTTATTGACATGAGTTTCTTCTAAGTCTTTGTAGAATTTTCCATGTAGTTGTTTTTGTTTTAGCCCACTTATTATTTTATCTATTGTGTGGGAGGCGTGGATTTCTTCGGTGTTCGACAGATTTAAGGGTGTGTGGTTCAAATCTGCTCTTGTGATGGTGCGAAACATTTCATTTCTTTCCGCTCGTTTCAAGAAATACTTCTTCAAATCTGAGATTTGTCTCTGACATAAGTTTTCTAGGTTCTGGAAACCCCTTCCTCCATTCTGTCTTGGTAATGAGAATCTTTCAATCGACGATTTTGGATGATGCCTTCTATACTGTGTGAAGATTTTCCTTGTTGCGATGTTTAAATTTTCAAGATCAGTTTTGGACCATTTAATGACTCCAAAAGAATATGTTAGCAGTGGAACGCAGAATGTATTTACTGCTTTCATTAAATTTTTTCCATTTAACTGTGTCTTCAATATTAATTTCAATCTCGCTAGGTATTGATCTTTCATTTTATTATTGATAATATTATTGTCAAACTTCTATCATCGCCTCACCACATCAGACAGTCACGAGCCGCCACTGATTTGAATAGACAGTTAGATATTGAAAGAATTCAGCGCCGGTTTCTCAAGTATATTTCGTTCAAAATTCATGGTGTATACCCTGAGAGGAATATCAGCTATGATGCATTGCTCCAAAAGCATCATTTTAAATCCTTGCTTGAGAGACGAAACTACTTAAATGCTCGATTTATGCATAAACTTATTCATAATGAAATTGACTGTGTGAATCTTCTTTCTAACGTTAATATTTATGTTCCCCGCATATCCTGAAGACATTCAGCAACGTTTTATTTACCAACACCCAAAACTAACTTGTTACGAAAGGCGCCAATTACTAATATGTGTCGGTCTGCCGACAAATTCTATGATGATATATTTTTTGGAACCAATTAGTCTTATTTAATGAAATATTGCTAGATAGTTGTTATGTTTTTTGTTCATAAGATAATTTGCATTACAATTTAATTTATTTATTTATTTATTTATTTTTAGGGAATCTTAATTATATAATTGCATTATTTACTTAGTTTGTTTGTTAAAAACTGCTTGAAAGTATCACATTATTGTTTAATTTAGTTTTATTTGGTTTACTGTTTTACCATATTATTATTTTTATTATTTCGTTAATTCTTGTGTTGTTACTTTAACTTAATTTGTCCTCTAAATGGAAATTCTGTTGGGCAATAAAGACATTATTATTATATTGCTTAATTATGGAATATTGTCATAGACATATCCTACATCTCTAATATAGCTTGAATGTATTTCAATAATAAAATTCCATTTATCATTCATTTAATTAAAAGAGGGAATCAAATCAAAACAACAACGTAGAAATGTCATCATATTTCTGTAAAAATTTTACTCGCCTATATCCTTCTTAATGCTATTGTCAGGTACTTCAAAGGGTGGTCAAATAAGCTTAAGGTATTTAAAAGGTGCTCTATTGTGTGGGCCATAATTTACAGCTTACCGCCTCAGCTAATATTTTGGGTTGCCTAACTTACCAAAATTTGCCCCAAATGCTTTGCAGTTTTTACAATAACTAAAAGAAGTAAAATTTTAACAGAAAACGAAGAATGGCGCCTAAAGTAGAAAAAAATTCTCTATCACCTCGATATTTTTTAAAAGCACACCGAGTTATAGTTTTCGCTAAAAATCCGCTGGGGTTTTACGCACTTTATTTTTTATTTTAAAAACTGCTACGTTTTTAAAAAAATACAAGACTCTTCCTTAAAGATTTTTATGTCATGAGCACGCACATGTATCGCTCTGCTCTTCAACTGTTAAAATAAAGGCGCAAAATGGGTTGGCGTTTTGCCTTATTTTGGCATCTTTTAATGACTGTGTGGCGGAGCCTTAATAACTCGAATTTACACGACTAACTATTACAACGATTAACTCCAGCGCAACTTCACTGGACTCTCTTGACTCAACTGGCTGAATAATAATAATCGTTCCCGAAGGTGGCCTCTATTTAAATCCATAATTCTGCAATCGAGGTTTTTCTCGAATATTCATCGCGACTTCGCAATCGAGACTTCCGGTAACCGGGTCCAGACTTGTCTTTATGCTACCATCGCACAGCCGTCCTGACTGATGATGACTCACCCATCATCAGCGCACATTCTAGAGAACACATAGGCTTCGTACCGGGGCGGCATATGGGTTAATTTCGTAACAACATATGTATAGGCATTTAACTCACTGAGTGATTATAAAAGTAATGGAACCAGTAAATCAAAAGTGATTTATGCGAGTCTTCAGTATGATACCATTATCATACTCCTAACACCTATAATTAAAATAACTACGTGATAAAGTATCCTTATCACAACTACCTCCAAGTCGAAGTGTGTCTAGCTTGAATATTCAGTTGTAAAAGAAAAAAAAAAACGGAAAACAATTTAAATGGAGCAAAACGAAAGAAGAAAGCAAAAAAAAGCCCATCCAAAGGACAGGTCTAATTTTTTATCACACTTTTTCTTCTGGTAACTTCTTTTAAAAATATTTTACTTATGTACACCGTCTTTTCTTAGTTGGGAACTACCAATTTTATTTAAATCGCACACATTCACTGAAAACAGCTTGTACGAAGCTGCGAAAGAACACAAGGCTACAGCTCTCGGAGACAAGTTGGAATTTTTTTGGAAGGAAGAAGAAATCTGCGAAAAGCGCCCGTCACTAACAAGGGCTCTTTTAAAAAGCTTTGGGAAAGAATATTTACTACAAGGGCTTATACTTTTACCCTTTGATCTTGGAGTGATGTTAGCTGTTCCTGAAGTTGATGTCATGTCACCAACACGTCTTAGTTTCAGGTTACTGCGACCTTATTGTATGAAGAAGTTTTTGAACTGCTTTACACAACAAGAGTGCGTCGGCGGAATCGAAATTTATCTGCATACTTCGTCAATTGTTTCAGTAAATCTGTTGCAAGTGTTATATTTTCACTGGTTTTATTTGCAATTTAGTTCTTTTGGAATCAAAGTTAGAGTTGCTTGTTCTTCGTTAATTTACAGAAAGTGTCTCGAGATGAAGAAACAGTCGTTTAAAAAAAAATCTGTTGGACAAGTAGTAAATCTGTTTAACGATGTAAACAGATTCAACGATGTTTTCGTCGTTTGTCACTACCTATGGATATCACCTTTAAAAATTTTGATTTTTCTCTATTACATGGATGTCGTTTTGGGACCCACGGCACTTACAGGCATCTTTATAATTATATGTTTCTTCTTAGTACAGCGTTTGTAGTTGAAAATTTTAAGTACCTTCGCTAAAATATCGTTTTAGTGGTTGTTTCCAAACAAATGTTTTTGAGAAAAAGGGAAACCGCTTTGAAAACCGACGACAGAATTCGTTTAATAAATGACGTCATCGGTGGAATACAAACAGTGAAGATGTACACTTGGGAAACACCTTTTTCGAAACTTGTTAAAGCTGCTAGAAGGTAATGTCTGTGTGTCTTATACCATGTCTGAATTAACAAGAGATTTGTAGATCTGAAATGAAGATACTTATTCAAGCTAATTTGTTATCTATTAATAACCACACTATCGGGATGTATGTCACAAAAATTGCGCTTTTTTTGTGCGTACTAAGCGTCATTTTGACTAAGGTGCTTTTAACACCTGAGTACATTTTCCCTTTGATTAGTATGTACGAAAACTTAATTCTTGTAGGCGTACTAGGCTTTCAGTTGGCTGCAACTTTCTTCACGGAAGCCAAAACTTCGGTTGCTCGCATTCAAGAATTTCTTCTTTCGGGACGCAAAAAAGCTCCTGTAAAACAGCCATCAAAAAGCACTGACTCTTGCAGTCCAAAGTCACACCAATGTTTTGAACCAACTGTTTATGGAATTCATCTTAACAACGTCAAGGTGGTTTTCGATACCTCCACCGTGTTGGAAGATGTCACCTTTTCAGCGCTTCCTGGAGATCTAGTTGGAATATCAGGAAAATCTGGAAGCGGGAAGTCAACACTCCTTCAAGTCATCCTCCAAGAAATTAAAGCAAAAGGCACGATTGCCGTCGGCGGAAAAATTTCGTACGCGTCCCAAGAAGCTTGGATTTTTTCCGCAAGCATTAAACAAAACATTCTTTTCGGGGAAGAAGAAGACGAGAAGAAATATCGCAGAGTGATTCGAGCGTGCGCTTTGGAACACGATTTGTCTCTTTTCGCTAACGGTGACCAAACTCTCGTCGGTGAACGAGGGGTGATGTTGAGCGGAGGCCAAAAATCGAGGATAAATTTAGCCAGAGCTGTGTATCGAGATGCTGATATTTATTTATTAGACGATCCTCTAGCTGCTGTTGATGGCACTGTGGCTCAACACATCTTCAATGAGTGCATTTTGGGGTACTTGAAAGACAAGTGCGTAGTTCTGGTGACCCATCACTTGAAGTACTTGAGGAACGTCAAAAAACGATATATTATAAATAAAGGAAAAGTGGTTGAGGAAGCTTCGAGTGAAAATGTTTTCATGGAGTCTGATGAAGTGGCAATGCAAGAGGACGTCATCAAATCTCACAATTTACCTCCCGAGATTCATGAAAGTGCTACAACCAATTATAGCACACGACAAATTTACAAAAAGTATTGGTTTTCTGGAAGCCACTGGATCCTACCTTATTTGATATTTGCACTACTTTTATTAACTCATTCCTTAAATAGTTTCATCGATATATTTATTGTTTTTCCAATCATTTCAAACAAAACAAAGTCTTTCTATTTCTTCAGTTTGACGTTAGAACACTTTTTATGTTTACGCGTCACTGATTGTCCTTCTCTTCTTTCTTAATCACACTCTGTCTGTGATATTTACGAAACATTGCATCTGTATTTCAAAAAATCTACACAATACGTTGTTAGACAAAATTTTGGCCCTTCCGATGAAATTCTTCAACGAGCATCCTTCTGGTAGGATTCTTAACCGGTTCTCGCAAGATGTCGGTCGCGTTGATGAAACTATACCCTTCTGTTTATACGAAATGGTGAGATCAGCCTTCGACTCACTTGGAACAGTGATAATTGTAGTAATTTTAAATTATTGGTTAATAATACCAACGTTGGCAGCCATTCCTTTGATTTATTTGTCCACTTGGCTCTTTCAGCCTCTCAACAGAAATCTAAGAAAGCTGGAAGGAATCAGTAAGTTGACAGCTCCGTCTTTATCCTATAAAACTAGCAATGTTTCAGCCAAAAGTCCTATTCTGACTTACGTCGTTACTTCGTTGCGCGGACTTCCAACAATACGAGCTTTTAACAAACAAAAACTTTTAGTTGAAGAATTCGAATCCCACCAAGACGCTCATTCCTCCGCTTTCTACTTATTTAAGTCTTTATTTTTTACTTACTCGTTTTGGATCGATTTAATATGCTGCATATATTCCACAATTATCACTTTCAGTTTTTTAACTTTCAACACAGGTGAGTACTACGCGGTACTTAATAAACCTTTGCCCACGTGTAATACTTTCAGATAGTTCAGTGGCAATTGTAGGTTTAGCTGTCAGTCAAGCAAACATCTTGGTAGGTTTAGTCCAATTCGTCATGAAAATGTGGAGCGAATTGAGCGCTAACATGACTTCTGTAGAACGAGTACTAGAATACATAGAATTACCTCAAGAACTAGACAACGGTACTTTCGTGCCACCACCATCGTGGCCCCAAGTCGGACAAATCGAGTTTAAATCAGTATCGATGCGGTACTCTCCAGACAAACCTTTAATACTAAAAAACATTGAGATTAAGCTTCACCCAAGGGAAAAAGTGGGAATCGTTGGCAGAACTGGAGCCGGAAAAAGCTCTCTGGTGTCCACTCTGTTTCGTCTAACGCATTTCGAAGGTCAGATTCTCATAGACAACGTAGACACCAAAGTCGTACCGCTGAATGTTTTGCGATCAAAAATCACCATCATTCCACAAGATCCGATATTGTTCGTAGGTTCTTTAAGAAAAAATTTAGATCCGTTTGAAGAATTCAGTGATTCTCAAGTTTGGAGTGCTTTGGAGGCTTTCAACCTGAAAGCGTTTATAGCAAACTTGCCACTGGGTCTTGAGACTCTGGTGGACGAAGGTGGTACCAACTTTAGCGTAGGACAGAAACAGTTGTTGTGTTTGTCGAGAGCGATGTTGAAGAAGACTAAGATTTTTGTCTTGGATGAAGCTACAGCTAACGTTGATTTGCAAACGGATGAAGGAATTCAGGCCACCATTCGAGAAAAATTTAAAGATTGCACACTTTTGGTGATAGCGCATCGCTTGGACACTATTTTGGATTCCGACAAAGTAGTAGTTATGGATGATGGTAGGGTCGTGGATTTTGGGAAACCTGAGGAATTATTTTTAAAGAAACACTTTGTTTAATTATGTAGACAATTTTATTTTCAAACCTTTACACCAATTTTACATATTATCAACACTTAGCACTAGTTGAGGAAATCCGAAACTGTATAATAATAATAAAGAATGTGGTAACTGTATTTAGAACATTTAGAATCGTAGACCTATCAATAGTGAAGAACCTTGCAGCTGAAAATTTCGGAAAATTTCTAGTGACAATCTTAACGAACTGTTCCAGCCTGTCCTGTTCTAGAAAATTCTTGCAGTTTCGTTGCAAAACGTACGACTTATTCAGCATGGCTTCAGTTTCTCCCGAAATTAAGTCGCACCACATGATGACGATGAAAGTACCGACCTACAATAACCAAAGTCATTTGACAAAAAAGTACGACTGAACTTACAGTGGTCAGTAACACCAGTACAACATCAGCCACTATCCTTTTTGCTAGCGACTGCGGAAAGTCAGCTGAAGCCATAAAAATGAAGTCCAAGTTGTTCAGCATGTAAAGAATCGTATGTACTATGCCCATTGCTGTAGCCCACCCAAAAACTTCGTTAAATATGTCTACCGTGTCTTTCAGAAAATAAATGTTCTGTTCTATTTTGTTCAAAGAGGTAGATATGGTTTTTAAGCAATTGGGATGATTATTTGTAACAGTGACAAGTGTGTTATTTAAGGATTTATACTGAGTGTATATAACATAAAGTATAAAACTGACAAACATGTTGTATGCATATACAAGATAGTACTGGACGTACTGGATGCTATATTGTCTAATATAGTACGACCAGCCTAAAAAATTTAGCCAAAAGTAGTACACTACAATTAAAATTACTATCTCTAGAAAAAGTCTGAAGATGTAGAACTTCGCAAAGAATGTAATTTTAGACGGATTTTCTGACAACGAGATTATTGTTTTTATATTTGTAATCAACTTTCCCCACTGTGTTTTATTCCAGAAAGCCACAGACAACGGAGCGTAACAACTGAAAAGCAACAAATTCGCATCTATTAATACATACAGAGTCGCCTTGTAATAATAGTTATGATAATAATCTCTGAAAGCTATACTCAGTAGCGTGAAAATAATGTTCAAAATCACACAAACGATATTATAAAATCCATTACAAGCTTTCGCTTCGTCGTATGGTGGAGTCAAACACAAAAATCGTCCTATCGCAAAGAAAAAATTTATGGAGTTAGTAGCCATTTTCAAACTTGTGTTGCTACGTAGAAAGACTGTTTGTAAATCCAAATAACCCTCATTAAAGTAAGTGCTTTCAAATTAATTGCTAACGTGTACATACAATACATATCCTTGTTTATATTTGAACGAAAGTATGTAGTTTAAATTACTCATAATCTCGTAGTTGTATTAATACAATGAAGAACGTGGTCACAGTGCCCAAAATACTCAAAATTGTTGCCCGATTCACACTAAAAAAACGTGCAGCTGAAAATCTTGGAAAATTGTGTTTAATAGTTTTGCTCAGTTCTTGAAATCGCTCTTTTTCGGCAAGGTTTTTGCAGCTTCTTTGCAGAATGTAAGATTTGTCTAACAAATCTTCAGCTTCTTTTGAAATTAAGTCAGACCATAGGACGACCAAAAACGTGCCAATCTACAACTCACAAGTACAATTTTTTGAAACAAAATAGTCGTTTTAGAAGTTACAACTGTTAGCAAAACCAGAGCAAAATCAGCTAGGATTTTTTCTTTCAACTGATTATCGTTTTGGATAGATGAATTTATAAAAATGTAGTCGAGGTTGTTGAGGATGTACAAGACGGTGTACGAAATAACCATCGTCGTTGGCCATTCAAAAGTGTCATTCACAGCGTTGGTGGTATCTTTCAGGAAATATAAGTTCTGTTCTATTTTTTGTATTAATGTTGAACATCCAGGTTGGTCCAAAAAAGCGCTGACGTACTTATATTGCACCAGAATTGTGTATAATATAAAACTCACGAAGGTGTTGTATGAATACAAAAGATAGTAGTTAAAATAGTGGATATTATACTGAGTAATAAAGTGTGGCCCGAAGTATCCAAACCAAAACATGTATATAGCAAAAAGAACAACGATTTCAACAAAAAGTTTCAAAATGCAGATTTTTGCGTATCGTATGACTTTCCTATTTTCCATTGAAGAAATCATAATGTAGAGATTATTAATCAATATTTCCCACTTTTTTTTATTCCATAATACTAAAGACACCCGAGAATAACATACAAAAATTAGTAGGTTTACATCTGTTAAAAAAAATACTACTGCCTTGGCATAATATAATTTGTAACCATTCCTATCGATTGATAACATCACCGTAGCCACAAAGTTAAAAGTGACGAAGATAAGAGTATACAGTTTTTGAGTAAAGGTGACCGGGTAATTGTAAGATGGAACGAGGGCAAGAATTTTGCCAAAATTAAATAATAACGTAATAGGACCAGTCATTTTTGTTTATTGAAATGGTTAACCTGCGTTACTGCCACATAGATCACCAATAATTACTTTGTTCGTTTTAAACATAATGTAATGTGATCGATTGCAGTTGTTTATATTCATAACTAACGCTTAATAAATGAGATAGGAAATATATTGATTAAGGGTTGAAATTTAATTATGTAATATGTAACAGAATGGAAAGATCAGTTTCTCTATTGAACACTTAAGAGCACTTTAAAATTGTCAGATAAATGATATACAGAGTGGGTATTATAATAACGGGGGGCTAGTAGCTGCTAAGATAAAACTGATTTTAACACCCGCCCACCCACCCTCTCTTTTCTTTTTTCATTTAGTCAAATTTTCGATTTGTAATTTTACGTTTTGGGGTATTATTTTCTTAATTTTCCAGTTTTTCAATATCGTGATTCTATAATTTTTCTTTTTTCAATGTGAAAATTTCCAGTTTTTGGATTTTTCAATTTTTCGATCTGCAATTTTTCGATTTTTCAACCTTTTGATTTTTGAATTTATAATTTTTTCAATTTTAGATTTTTCCTGTTTCATGGTCTTTCAATTTTCAGCTGTCTTCAATTTTTCGGTTTCCAATTTTCCAGTTTTGCAAATCGAAAAATTTGGAAGTCGATTTTTTCGTCCTTTTCGTCCTTCGTCCTTTTCATCCTTCGTTCTTTTCGTAGTTCGTTCTTTCCATCCTTCGTCCTTTTCGTCCTTCGTTCTTCGTCCTTCGTCCTTCGTCCTTCGTCCTTTTCGTCCTTCGTCCTTTTCGTCCTTCGTCCTTTTCTTCCTTGGTTCTTTTCGTCCATCGTCCTAGGTTTTGACGTTTTTGCTCGTTCGTTCAATTTTTCAATTTTTCGATTCCTTTGCTTTTTAATTTTTCTTTAATCGAAAAATTTAAAATTGAGGAACTGAAAAATCGAAAAATGAAAAAATTCTTTAGTTTTGCAAATCGAAAAATTGAAGAAAATAGAGATTTGAAAAATTTGGAGGTCGATTTTGTCGTCCTTTTCGTCCTTCGTCCTTTTCGTCCCTCGTCCTTTTCGTCCTTCGTCCTTTTCATCCTTCGTCCTTTTCGTCCTTCGTCCTTTTCGCCCGTCGTCCTTTTCGTCCTTCGTTGTTCGTCCTTTTCGTCCTTCGTGCTTTTCGTCCTTCGTCCTAGGTTTTGACGTTTTTGCTTGTTCTTTCAATTTTTCAATTTTTCGATTTCTTCGATTTTAATTTTTCTTTCGTTTTTTCTCGAGTTTTCAATTCTAATGTTTCAATATTTCGATTTGTAATTTTGTATTTTTTAGTTTTTCATTTTTCTTATTCAATTTTTAGATTTTGCAATTCTTCGATTTAAAATTTCCCGAGTTTTCAATTTTCTAACTTTTGAATTTTCAGATTTTGCAATTTTTCGTACTAATTTTTCAGTTTTGCAAATCGAAAAATTGAAGAAAATAGAGAATTGAAAAATTTGGAAGTCGATTTTTTCGTCCCTGTATTCCTTCGTCCGTTTCGTCCTTCGTCCTTTTCGTTCTTCGCCCTTTTCGTCCTTCGTCCTAGGTTATGACATTTTTGCTCGTTCTTTCAATTTTTCGATTTCTTCGATTTTTAATTTTTCTTTAATCGAAAAATTTAAAATTGAGGAACTGCAAAATCGAAAAATGAAAAATATTCTTTTAGTTTTGCAAATCGAAAAATTGAAGAAAATAGAGAATTGAAAAATTTGGAGATCGATTTTTTCGTCCTTTTCGTCCTTCGTGTTTTTCGTACTTCGTCCTTTTAGTCCTTCGTCCTTTTCATCCTTCGTCCTTTTCGTCCTTCGTCTTTCGTCCTTTTCGTCCTTGGTTCTTTTCGTCCTTCGTCCTAGGTTTTGACGTTTTTGCTCGTTCTTTCGATTTTTCAATTTTTCGATTTCTTCGATTTTTAATTTTTCTTTAATCGAAAAATTTAAAACTGAGGAACTGCAAAATCGAAAAATGAAAAAATTCTTCAGTTTTGCAAATCGAAAAATTGAGGAAAATAGAGAATTGAAAAATTTGGAGGTTGATGTTTTCGTCCTTTTCGTCCTTCGTCCTTTTCGTCCTTCGTCATTTTCGTTCTTCGTGCTTTTCGTCCTTCGTCCTTTTCGTTCGTCGTGCTTTTTCTCCCTTGCGCTTTTCGTCCTTCGTTCTTTTCGTCTTTTGTCCTTTTGTCTTTCGTCCTTTTCGTCCTTCGTCCTAGGTTTTGACGTTTTTGCTTGCTCTTTCAATATTTCAATTTGCAAAATCGAAAAATGAAAAAATTTTTCAGTTTTCCAAATCGAAAAATTGGGGAAAGTACAAAACTGAAAAATTTGGAGGTCGATTTTTTCGTCTTTTTCGTCCTTCGTGCTTTTCGTCCTTCGTGCTTTTCGTTCTTCGTCCTTTTCGTCCTTCGTCCTTTTCGTCCTTCGTCCTTTTCGTCTTCGTCCTTTTCGCCCTTCGTCCTTTTCGTCTTGCGTCATTTTCTTCCTTAGTCCTTTTCGTCCTTCGTCCTTCGTCCTTTTCGTCCTTGGTCCTTTTCGTCCTTCGTCCTAGGTTTTGACGTTTTTGCTTGTCC